ATGTAATCCCTTATTTGTCCAGGACTGAGATGTTTGTAATATGAAATAAAATGTCAAATCTTAAACCCCGAAACTTTAGATAGACATATGGTTTAAGATTTAAGAGGGCTGTGGTTAGTAAAAGAACACAGGAATTTGACACCTAATTTACTGAACAAAGAGAATGCAGCCAGATTCTGTTCAAAAACCACAGTCATTAAGACCACACATTACAATAATTAGCCTATTTAAATATCTCTTCTCATAAAAGATTAACTAAAACATCGCATGTGTAAATTTGATGATTTGTTTCTTGTCACATTTGAAACTTTAACGTTATAATGGTTTTCAGTCAGTAATCACATACTTAGAGTTGTATTCCCTTTGTTTCATGCATGTTTGAGTAATTCGATGTAGTCCTGCGTTTTAGGCTTGAATGCTTTGAAAATGTATGTTTTCACCTACCCCCTATCCCCACCCACTTCTCTAACTTGAGATTATTCAGAAAATTCAGCCTCCCGGTGATACATGTACAGTTAAAAAATGTTGTTTAGCCAATAAAAACATGAAAATCGGCTGCTTATACTGTAAAATGCCATTAAGATCTTCAGTATGGAACAAGAAATGAAGTTATTCTTAAAGACGCACTATGTAACTTTTTGGTTGGGGATTCGTTGCCTTCTTGTTTCTATGGACATGTCATTGCTTTGCTTAGAATGTTCCACAGTATGACATTAAACAGCTCTACCTTACATTTATTCAATTACAGGTGGTTTTATAGCTCAAAACTACAAAAAAGAAAAACAGGCATTCTGACTGTGAGCGGGTTCTCCTCTCCACAGAGCCGACCTGTAACTTGGTCTGGTATGGTCTTCATGAAGATAGAAAGGTTTCATATCATACTGTGAAACATTTCAGGTAAACCAATAACATCTCCATGAAGAAAAGCATTTCATGGACCCTCCACCAGAAAAGTTACACAATGCACCTTTGAACATAAATTATATAAAAATGATATTTAAAAGTCAATTTTAGATTTTAGTTTTTTGTCACTAGTCCTGTGTCTGCTGCTGCTGTTTGAAGCCTTAAGAACTGACTACTGCATTGCACATAAAAATCACATGTATGCTCCTATGGGCCCTCAACTGGCACACACACACATCCAGGGGCCACCTCATTACCAACAACACAAAATGCACAAGTGGCAAGACACTAGGGCTAGGTACTGTTTAAAGGGACTGCACCGGAAAAAAACAACAACAACAAAAAAACAATTTGGATACTTGAAAAAAGTAGTGATGCAGAAAACATTTAGCAGGTGCAAATAAGACGAGAACATCACAAAAAACACAAAATCAACTAGACACTGAAAGAATACAGTTTCTTATAATTACAAGTGGTTCGTGTGAGTGCACAATTGATACTTACTTCACTGCATCTGAGAGCAGGGATCAGTACTTTTTACTCCACTATATTTTTAAACGAAAAGTAAAAGCATTTTTAATACTTGTTTGTGAATGTCTGAAAGGCTGAGATTATTTGTTATAAAGTTCATAATTTCAGCAAACAAAAATATACAAAGAAAAACAGCTCGGAAAAGAAATATTGATTCAGTTGTTTGAGCAAATTTCAGTCCAAATCTCCATCAAAATCAGAACAATTGAAGCATCATTACATCTCAAAATATACGTGAAATACTTTTACTTTTAACTCTTTAAGAATATTTTTAAACAGGTACTTTATAGTTTTACTTAAAGGAGCACTCTGCAGCTTTTCTGGTGTCGCCGTGGAGATGTTATTGACTTGATGGTGGACATTAAACATATCCATCTTGCATTTATTCATTACACATGTTTCTATTGCTCAAAAATACCACAATTCCTTCTGTGAATAGGGGCGACTCTTCACAGATCTGAGCTGTAATGTAGCGTAGTGCTGTAACCTGCTTGCCTCCCTCGTGATAGTTCATTTTAATCTATACTGTGGAACATTTTAGACAAAGCAATAACATTTCCTTGGAGACAAACAGGTGGCAAACCCTCTACTAGTACTTTAACTTTTACTTGAGTTATCTTTTTCCCTTGTATCTGTACTTTTACTCAAGTAACAAAGTACTTCTCCAACCCCTACCCCATACATACATACAGCCCCACTGCAGTGCTCTGAGCTGCTGGGGCATGCTAACACGGCAAACGCACAGCTCTTAATGGTTTTCCCACCCACTACAGCGCGCACATGTTGAAGCCGTTAGCGATAAGTGGCTTTTCCAACTTGGTAACGTCCTAATGTCCCTGTTAATCTCACATTCCTCACTACAAAGGCTCAGAGCGAGGCCAGGGCACAGCACAACCAGGAGGAGAGTCTGAGGCCACTATAAGAGGAACAGCATGGATCTGAACTGCACATAACCTGACTGTAAACTCCGGGGTTACAAGGGTGCTTTGGTGGTTTGGTGGTTTTTCAAGCTAATATTTTACCACATCTGTTATGGTACAGGTATGAGACTTAAAACGATAATTCAGGCAGTTACAGCAATGCAAAATTTTAAACTCAAAATGAAAAAAGATAAATTCTCAATGACAATTTTGAAACCACAATTGTAAGCTAATTATAACTTAACGGTTCTATATTACACAAAATTGACTCTTGTGAGCTTTAAGCCATGTTATAATGTTGTTTCTTCATCAAAAACACACCTGCAGTTGTGTTTTGTTTCATTCACGCACGTTTGAATAATGCTCTGTTCCACTTTGCTTGCTTAAAATGCTCTGTTCCACCTTCTGATGTCATCTAGTGGTAGCTTTCAAATGAACAGCTACCTTTTACCTTTTGTTCTGTAGAGATTGGTAACTCCAAAGCTGAAATCATCCAAATGATTCTGTTGAAAGTGTATGCAGTTTAAAAACACGGTGAAGCACTTCCTGAACATGACATCACAAGGTGGAACAGCATGTTTTCAGTCTGAGAGAATAACTCAGCCTAAATATGCAGGATTTGTATGCTTAACATGTGTGAATGAAACAAAACACAACTCCAGGTTATGTTTTTGATGAGGAAACAACTTTAAAATAGAATCAGAAAATGGTGTAATATGGGCTCATTAAACAATATAAAGTCATTTTCAACAACATACAGTATATATTTTCTTTTATATCACCATGGGAAACTGATCAAATTCATATAAACTATTTCACAAAAGGCATCAATACATATACAAATGAGGAGGTCAATCTAGTTTCAATACTAGTTTTATTTTTGATTAGTATCTGGGTGTCACTAAATTTTACACTATGACAACTACAGCGACCCGTAGTATTCCAACCTACTTTAAATATTTTAGTTTTTCTCATCAGAAACATATATTGCATTGTGTTTTGTTGTAGTTGTATTTCTGAATACTCATTTTCATTCTTGCAATCTCTGGATGTCATCTGTTGGCAATCGAAAAGTGCTCCTCTGCATTTGAAATCAGCACAGGGCTCTTTCTGATCATTTTAACTCTCAAATCGTCTTCACAACAAAGCACGAAATCCAGCAGCAGCAGCAAACAGACAGCTCTTCGTGGTACTGATTGCAACACTACCACAGATCTCAATTCTCCTCTTACTGAAGCTGGTAACTATTATGTCATATTATCACATTCAAGTAAATAGCCTCGTCCCAATGAAGTGGATAATTTCTATTTGAACGTCTTTAGACAGGTGCAATAACTTATCATTTGATTCACCTACGTGTTTTGTTTTGGGATTTTATACAGGTGCTTTCTATCCAGCTGTAATTGCAAAAGTTTATTCGCTAATGAGAAAAAGTGTGTATTCCAAACTCTGTGTTGTAGTAAATGCCGTCAGTTGATTTAAAATACTGATATAGGCAGCTGTAGTACTGAATACTTTGGCATAGTCTCTCTGTGGTAAAATTATGCCCAGTCAAACCCAGCAGTGGAATGTAACTAAGTAAAAGTAGTATAGTACAGTACTTAAGCAAAAATTTTAGGTATGTGTATTTTAAAGTGGATACCTTTTACTTTTACTTCACAAAATCTGAAAGCAGGTATCTGTACTTTCTACTCCACTACATTTCTGAACAAGACTGAAAAGTACAAGTATTTTTATTTTATGTATGTTTGAGAAATGTTTGCTGAAAAGGATGAGAGGTTTATTTGTAACACATTCGTAGTTTGAGCAAGCTAAAATATACAAATACAAACAGCTGGAAAAATATTAAGTCAATTGAACAAAATTATTTTCAAATCTGTATCAAAATCACTACATTTGAAGCTTTATAAGATCGCAAAATCAGCGAGATACTTTTACTTTTTACTCTTTAAAGGTGCACAGTGTAGCTTTTCTGGTAGAGGTTTCCAGAGTTGTTATTGTTTTACCTCCAATGTTACAGTATGGCACTAGCTTTTTAATTTCCATAGCAACAAGCAGGCTATAAGGCAATTTACAGCCGAGATCTATGAAGAGGTTACCCCACTCACAGTAAGAATGCATTATTTTGAGCAATAAAAACCCATAATCAAATAAATGCATCTTATATAAGTTTATTACCATACTGTGGAACATTACAGGCAATGCAATAGCATCTCTGTGGTAACGGACCACCAACCTGAAAAGTTACACAGTGCACATTTAAGTACATTTTTAACCAGGTACTTTAAATCGATTTTTGTGTGTGATACTTTTACTTTTACTTGAGGATTTTTGCTCCAGTATCTGTACTTTTACTAACAAAACTGAACACTTCATCGTCCACTGGTCAGACCACAGCCCATTACATACATTTCCATATTAATACATCAGGGTTAACCACAGGACCCAAAATGTGCCGTTTATGGTCTCATGAAGGACACACAATATTCTTTAAGTATGAATCTGGTTTAAAATCGAGCCAAGATACACTTTATTTCAATGTCTCGTGTAAAACTACAGACGTATTTTGTTATAAGCTATAGGTTATTCACATGTTTAGAAGCGTGTACAAAGAAAAAGGACAAGAATGACATGACCGTATCTTACCTGTACGTGTCTGAAGGCGACCGTGAGCTGCGTCATGTGTAGCGTGAGACACCTGGACGTACACCGCGCGCTGTTGATCTTGTCCTGAACATCCTCGTGCTCCGGTGAACTCCTGCGCGCGACAGTCAGCGTTACCAGTGCGCAAAGGTGAAGCAAACCGACTCCGCGTAACGACATGGTGCAAATCAAATAAGCAGTTAGCTGGAGGCACGCAGTTGTCTCTAGGAGTCCGTAGCGTCCTCCTCTCGCGACCGATGAGTTGTGAATGAAAACATCTGCTCCAAGAAGCGGAGTACTCGCTCTGGTCTCCCCGCGCGCGCAGACACTCCCCCACCGTCCCATGTGCGTCTCTGCGCTCATTACAGCGCATTACGGTCTTCAGCGGAGCTCCACATCACCCGTGTTTACTTTACACAAGCATTCATTTCACCTGTGCCAACGTCATTTGAACAATACTGTCACTTAACTTACAATTACAGCAGTTAGAGCTTAGCCTCTTTGAACGCTCTAATGGTTAAAGGTCCTATATTACTCAAAATTGAGTCACGTGAGCTTTAAGATATTTTATAATGTTGTTACCTCCTTAAAAACATACCTGGAGTTGTGTTTTGTTTAATTTATAATTGTTCGAGTAATGCATTATTATTAGTTTGTCTACATCTCCGAAGCTCAAAAATCAGGGCTGCAAATCATCCAAATGATTTTAGTGAAGATGTATGGAGTTTAAAAACACAGTGGAGCCCTTCCTGTATTCTATAATATGCACTTTTATTAACTTTTTTCATAGAACTTGCCACCTGTTTAGGACATTTTATAATGTTGTTACCTCCTCAAAAACATACCTGGAGTTGTGTTTTGTTTTATTTACACATGTTCAAGTTATCCTTTATTATTTGTCTGTTTACATCTCCAAAGCTCAAAAATCAGGGCTGCAAATTATCCAAATGATTCGAGCGGAGGTGTATGGAGTTTAAAAACTCAGTGGAGCCCTTCCTGTATTCTATAATATGCGCTTTTATTAACTTTTATCATAGTACCTGCCACCTGTTTGACTCTACTAATACTTTGCAGTGACATCATCCTGCGGATGTTCTACATGTATGTCTTTTGGCAAAATTTTCAGCAGTTGCGGACAGAGACAAAAAACATTTTAAGATAGTCTGAAAACTCAAGAAAAAGCACAAAATGGATCAAAACAACGTATTTTCAGATGCCTGTAATCAATATGAGTGTTCATGGTCCTGTTGAGCTGTTTACTCAGACTATGCTCAAATGAGGGTAAAAAAGCTTCAGACACAGTGGTGCTTTCAGTTAGCTTCACAGCCCCAGGGAATGTTGATGACATCAGCTGCAAAGTATCAACAGAGAAGCTGCAAAGAGTGTTCCATAGAGGCTACACATTTATAAGATGGTTCCCATGAAGAAAAGCATGTAGTACCAGACAAGCCAAGTTACAGTTCAGATCTATGGAGAGGCGACCATGCTCATGCATATTTAGTACACATTTTTGAGCAATAATTGAATGAAAGATAAGAAGTTTAATGCCGCGCTGTGGTGCATTCCAGGGAGAGCAATAACATCGCCATGGAGACAAGCATAATATTTACATAATATTTATAATAACAGGACTTTAATTAACCTCAGTAATGCACGAACAAAGGCTCCCACATGACTTAACTCCCAACCTCTTCACTACGCATCATTCATTCTTAAAACACAATCGTGCTGCTTCATGCGTTATTAAGGTATTTTAAGGTGTAGTTATATTAAAGTGATTTAAAGGACTACATTGGGATATTTTCTGATCTGTTATAATCTTGTTTCCCATCACAAACAGACCTGGAGTTGTGTTTTGTTTCATTCACACATGTTTAACACATAAATCCTACGTATTTAGGCTGAGTTCTTCTCTGAAACGGAAAACACTTGTGGTGCCATGTTGTAATACAGGAAGTATTCCATTGTATTTTTAAACTCTATACGCCTTCACTAGAATCATTTGGATCATTTCATCCATAGATTTCTACTGATCAAAAGATAAAAGGCAGCTGTTAACTTTACCCACTTCCTGACATCACAAAGCTGAACAGAGCATTGTGAGCTTTGGAAAGACAGATTAATAAGGATTACTCAAATGTGTGAATGAAACAAAACACAGCTCTAAGTACGTTTTTGATGAGGTAACAAGATTATATCATGGCTTAAAGTTCACAAGAGTCAATTCTGTGTAATATAGAACCTTTAAAGTAAGGAATATATTTTAGTTTTTCCCTCTTATTTACACTTTATCACAAGTAATTGAAAAACCACATACAAGCTCACATAATGCCCTCTTCTGTCCCTTTTCTAGTCATCTCATTTACAGCTATTTCCATCCTCATTATCACCACAGCACGGCACCATCAAAGCAGTCATCCATATGCTCTGTGCTGAGTAATGCAATCTCAAGTCTAAATTTGGCCCTAACATAACAGGGGCCTGAGCCATGCCAAAGCTCCCAATAGCCGTCTGTTGTTTTAGGCATATTAACACTTTATTTTTACTACTCTCCAAACAGACTGCGTATTACGGACTGCTAATATTTTCTATAGCTAATTATTGGACCAGACTAATAAAATGAGTTCATGTTGAGGTAAGTGTTTTGCCTAAAAAGCTATAGTCAAATTCACGTTCTACAATTTGATGGTGTTATAATTTCAGATGGAGGGAAGTGGTCTGTGTAACGCTATGGGAAAATTACAGTATTTTTTGGACTATAAGTTGCTCCAGAGTATAAGTCGCACCAGCCAAAAAATGCGCAATGAAGAAGAAAAAAACATATATAAGTCACATCGGACTATAAGTTGCACTTTTTGTGGAAATGTATTTTATAAAATCAGAGACCAGGAACCGACACTTCATCTTGAAAGGCAAATGATAGTAATAACAACAGAATAGAGAACAACAGACTGAATAGTGGTTAATATGTTGACGTAACATATGAATAGTTATTCAGAGAATTACAGCAGAAACAACAAAACATAACTTTACCAAACTCTCGATCTCACTCCAAATCACTAAATCCACTGAATTCTTCATCCTCGGTGTCACTTCTGCGCGACCTCCGGAGATAAACTGTAGATTTATGAGGTAAATGGAGCGCTGCTTCCTCTTCTGTGTACCTGTCGTCAGACTCAGCATCAGTTCCAGTTAGTATTAGTCCGGCCTTTCTGAATCCCAACAGCATGCTTTCGGTTGTGATTGAAGTTCAGGCTTTGTCGATTCATCCAATGACTTCCAGGAAAGTTGCATGGTGCACCCGCCCAGTTGCCATGAAGCTGTGTTCTCTTTCCACCAGTCCCTCACAAGTTTCTCGGTCACTCCAAACTTTCTTTCTGCTTCTCGATTACCGTTTTCGGCTACATATTTCACTACTTGCAGCAGGACAGCGACTTTTTCTACAGGAGGCATGTGCAGTAGAGTGCAAAGTGACAGCGGTACAGGGGTAATGGTAGTACTAAATACTGACACACAAGCCTAGAGCGTCCTCTTGTGGCTGTTAGTCTCAAAATTTTAATATATAAGTCGCACCGGAGTGTAAGTCACATGACTACCCAAACTATGAAAAAAGTGCGACTTATAGACCAAAAAATAAGGTAGTATTTTTGAGAGAAATATCCAAAATCGAAGTCGAAGATTGGGTCCACAAAGCTGCAATATTAATTTCATTTTCAGCTTAAGTCACTTTAACTGACAAGACAGACAAGAATTGAATAATGGAACCATTTTCTGAATCTATTCTTCACCTCGCTTTATGTGTTTTGTGTCAGTTTTTGTTTGTTCATGTGGATAGGCCCAGGAATTACAGAAAAATTAATCATAAACCAGGCCAACAAATCTGCAATCTGACAATTAAAGGGTCGATATTACGCTATTTTCTAGTTTTGAGCTTTGGAGATGTAGACAGAATAATAATAAAGTGTTACTCAAACATGTGTGAATGAAACAAAACACAATTCCAGGTATATTTTGAGGTGGTAACCGCTTTATAACATGACTTAACGCTCACAAGATTCAATTTGGCATAGACCCTTTAAACAGCTAATTCCACTATACGTTTCTGCAACCTATAAACACTTGATTTTTACTACTCTCCAAACAGATTGTGCATTATAGACCACTAACTCTTGCCATAGCTAATAACTGAACTAGAAGACTAATAAAATGAGTTCATATTGAGTTAAGTGTTTTGCCAAAAAGTTACAGTCAATGAAATGCTATAGTAGTTTTTGGGCATAAGAGTGAACAGGAGTGGGACACATGTTTGGGGCACGGGGTTGAGAGCCATATTTGCGTATATTTGTTTACATGCAGTCATCCCCGCTGGCAATAAAACGTGGAGAAAATCACCTAAGTCTGATTGAGCACTGTGTAAATATTTAGCGAGCATTGGCAGGAAGATTGTTGGCAGTGGGTGCATAGTACGGAGCATTGCTTTTAGGCTTTAAATAGACATGTGTGTGGATTAAAACTGAAAGATGTTATATAATGGAAATGCCTACACTACGCTATTTCTTAATCTATGTTATAATGTTGTTTCCTCATCACAAACAGACATGGAGATGTGTTTTGTTTCATTCACACATGTTTAACACAAATCCTGCATGTTTATTACGCTGAGAACTTCTCATGTGGTCATACAGGAAGTGCTCCACTGTTTTTAAACTCCACACACCTTCACTAGAATCATTTCGATCATTTCAGCCCCAGAATCGCCAATCTCTACTGAACTAAGGGCCTGTTTACACGAGAACGCTTGAGGGTGAAAATGACAAAATATTTTATTGCAAGTGCCTTTTGTTTAGACAGTGATGGCTTTTCTGGGGCTTAGGCTACATTTATATGATGATGTTCTGAGCAGAAAATGCAAAAGTGGAGAGCATCTTAGTTTTTTATTCCACCTTTAGACAAGCGTTTTTGAGAGGAAATCTGTGTGCTTACGGTGATGCAAAAGTGTGTGGAATTCGATTGAGTATGCATGCCAGGCGGCTCAGTAGTGACGCGAGGTGGTGATATATGTGAAGTACCCGCATACGCGACATGAGCAGATCTGACCAGAGTTTTGCAACTTGGGCAGTGTAGACAGAAACACTACGGCTGAGCGTACTCAACTTTTCCACTCTGAAGGGTCATTACAGATTTTTGCGCTTTTAAGCCCCAAAAACGGCGTCACAGTCTAAATGAAAGGCACTTCCCTTAGGGCAGGGGTGTCAAACTCATTTTGGTCCGGGGGCCGTATCCAACCTACTTTGATCCCAAAGGGGCCGGATCAGAAAACTCATGTCATATAAACCCCAAAAATAACAATAAGTTCAAATATTTGTGCAGAGAAACACAAATTTATTACAGAAATCTTTTTTTTTTTTTTTATTAAATCTTTCTTTTACTAAATATATTATCATGAACAAGCTGAAACTTTAAGAAAAATGCATTTTCAACACAATGTTTTAACAATAACTTGTATGCAAACAGGAATAAGTCCATATTTCTTGGAAAATCCTGGACTCGGCTCCACTTTTCTCATTTTTGACATTTTGTTGATGAGGGTGTCACGGTCAACAGTCAAAACGATCGTCCTTTAAGAGCGTTTGGAAAGAGACAAGTCTTCATTTGTGCTGCTCTGGTGGGAGGGGCCACGTACGGAGACGCTGGAGACACTGCTGTGATAAACACCGCAGAAAATTACCAATATTTTAATAGAAAATATAATTAAAATATTTTAGTAGAAAATCAGCCGAGGGCCAAATTAAAGGTCTTGGAGGGCCGGATCTGGCCCCCGGGCCTTATGTTTGACACCTGTGCCTTAGGGCCTGTTTACACGATAACGCTTGCGGGTAAAAACGCCAAAATATTTTATCGGAAGTGCCTTTCGTTTAGACAGTTAGGGTTAGGCGTTTTTGGTGCTTAAAAACACAAAAATCTGAAACCATCCTCCAGACTGGAAAAGTTAAATACATTCCACCATAGCTGTCGCCACTTTTGCATCTTCTGTTCAAACTGTTATCATATAAACATAACCTAAAAGTAACAGTTACCTGTTAATTTGAAAACTATCGCTTCATTACATCACAAGGTAGAACACCAAAAATATACATATTGAACTTTTAATAATCAATCTGTATTATCTAATTATCCAGGAATGTCCTACCGGGAGGAAGGAACATCTTGGGGTCCCAACAAAAGAGCTGGACGAAGTGTCTGGGGTGGGGGAAGTCTGGGAGTCCCTGCTTAGATTGCTGCCTCCGTGACCTGACCCTGGAGAAGAAAAGAACATGGATGGATGGATGAATATTATCTAATACAATGGGGAGGTTGAACTTCAGTCACGGTTGCCCCCAGTGGCTCATGGGGCCCCTAGCAAATGTGGTCTGTAATACAATAATCTGCTTTGGGAATTCTTAACTTTTACAGCGTTTAAATAACAAAACACAACACTGAGTCCAATACACTTGCTCTGCCCACTCTGTGTTGTATCTAAACAGCTGCTGAACTGTTTTATTTCTTCATACACCGCCTTCACTGTCTCTAGTTTCTGTGCAAACCATTAGTGTATGCACATCACTTACACTATAGCTCTGGTACCAGGGGCATTCACTGCAGATCCATCTGAACACATGCTGATAGAAGCCAAATGTGGTTGGGTTGGTTGGACAGCGGGAGAGCAGGGGGACAGTTGTACAGGCAGATGTTTGGCCCCGAGAACGTGTGTGAATCTGAACCCCTAAGACGAACTAGTCAGGAAAAATCAGCCAGAGAGTGATTCACTAACGTTTTGTGGGGAATACAATGCAATCAGATACGGCAAAACTGTAGACAAACTCTCTGGTGTGAACAAACCACAAAATCCGGTGTCTATTATTTGATTTGTTCAGCTACTCAAATGAAAAGTAAAAACTGACATCGCAAACGTGTTCCCATAATGAGGTAAATGTTAGTGTAGTATTAGCTTTAGTCCGTAGGGGGCACTAAGATAAAGAATTTTCAGACCGTGCCAAGCAATGAAGAAATACACTTTTCCATTCAAAGCACTATTTGTTAACCAATACGATATAGGGTCGCTTCTGAAGTCAGCCAATATTTATCTAGGAACTCAAGCAAAACAACACACTTTCTTCCACTTATTGACATTAATTTGGTGTTGACAAGACTAATCCACTAACAGTGATGGGAAGAACACTTTGAAAATGTATTTAGTTATAGAATACTGAATACTTGCATTCAAATGTATTTTGTAATGTATTCCGATACATGGTCCAATACTCCAATAAGAGTACTGTACTATTCTGAATACTTAGAATATGTAAAATCCCTCAGTTGTACAGGTGGAATCCATGGAAATTCAATTTGTGAACAAGGCAGAAGTTGTTGTTTTTTTGGTCGAATATGTTTCATAGCTCATCCAAGCTACTTCTTCAATTCATTCCAGTTCCAGAACAGAAGATGCAGCTTGGATGAGCTGCGAAATGTATTCAACCAAAAAAAACTTTTGTCTAGTTGACAAATTAAATTTCTCCTTTGCCAATACTTAGAATACTGTGACAAAGAGTTGTATTTAAATACAGCCTAGGATAAAAACAGCATATTTGTTTCACCATTTATTATGCATTTATTTATCATTGATCAAAGAAGAAAAAATCACACACACCACACAAGCATTGTTTTATATTTTTCTCACTACTTCTGTGCAGTTTGAAGCTTAAATTGTGTTATGATGTATTCCATGTATTCCTTTGATTTTAAACAAGTAACTGTAAACTGAATACCGCCAAATTGAGTAAGAGATGGTAAGTGTAACTGGACCAGAATATAGTTACTCAAAATTAATATTTAGAATATGTATTCTCATTAGTATCTTACTCACCGTTCTATTTTATCTGCTGTCAGTAATTCTTGTTATGTGAACCTAATATTTGGGGTCTTGTTTAAAGTCCCCTTTATCCATTCAATATCTGTTGGAGGCATTCCTTTTCTGTGCTGTACTGAGCTGGCAGTGAGTGCCCTCAGCACAGAAATGGAATATCTCTAAAAATATCTGTCTGCTATGATTAAGTAAAACTGTTTATTTAGTCTCCAGCAGACAATTTTAATTGATGTAGCAGCCTCTATAGAGGGTAAGAGAATGTCAAAACTACTTACTACATACGCATTAAAAGGTTTTTCTTATGATTTTTGTTATGTATTCATTGTTTTTACATTTAAGGTCTATTTATTTTAGTGTGTGATGAACCATATGAATCTTTAAAAGAATTATGTTCAGAGTGCACATTGTAAACAACTCTAGGAGAACTGACATTCAAGAGAAGACTATGAATATGATAAAATAATACAAGAATCCTATGCATTTCAGAACCTGTTTGTAGAGGTCTAAACTACAGTTACAACAAGATTTGTTTATATAAAGGTAGAATATTTTGTTCTTTGCAGAGGTCATTCTATTATCAACATAATTACAGCCTTTACAATTGAATGATTGCACCAACTCAAATTTTGACTTTGAGATATATTTGTCTGGGCTTTTTATTTTGTCTCTTTGTTTTTTACTCTGGACCACGAGCCTGCAATAAAAATATCTAATTTCTAATATTATACGGCCCTAGTACATTATGTTTCAGTGTGTTTAAAACCTGTTGAGTTCTAGCCTCGTAGTTTAGACATCTGCAAACATGATCTGAAATACTGGAATTCCAATCTTCTCTCAAATACCTAATGCGCCGTGTAAATCATATCGCAATCGCTATTCACATCAGAAAAAAATGTGAATTTCCAAAACTGAACTGCTCTAACTCCCAAAATAACAAACGCAGGGACACTCATTTAACTAAAGCGATTGGATTTCACAAAGTTACAAGAAGCCTTCAGATGATGTCATGTTTGAAACGGTCTGCTGGAGATCTGACATACGGCACCTCCAATGTAATTTACACAAAACAGAAACTTTATCACTGTTACAGACCACATCAGAAGCCTTCCATGTGAACAGCAGAGAGTGAGAGACCATTCAACTATTGGATGTGATCATTATGTATTTAACATGTCAGCAAACTGTGTCATCCTCTTAATCTGCAGGCTTTACAAGTTTATACTTCGATCTCGAAAACCGCCCAAAGTCACTGAAGTGGTCTCAAATGATTTCCTACATCTCATCTGTAAGTTATCCTGTCTGTCACTTTTGGAGTTTTCAAAAATTAGGATTCGATTTTAGTCTTGCATTTATTTTGACAATGGAAAAAAGAGCTGCAGCATCTCTATGTGGTAAGTTAATGCAAGTGCAGTTTAAGGAGTGTAAAGCTTCAAAATTACACCAAACTGTTGTGAGCTTTTAGTCATGTTAGAATGTTGTTACATCATCAAAACTATACCTGGAGTTATGCTTTGTTTCATGCACACATGTTTGAGTAACCTTTTATTATCACTCTGTCTACATCTCCAAAGCTCAAAGTGCTCTGTTTTCACCTTAGAAGATGTATGGAGTTTAAAAACACAGTGGAGAGAGAGGATTCAGTGCAGGAGGAATGGTCAGGGAGAGTCAGCAGATATTGTGGAAGAGCCAAAAGTGTCCCTCCTTTGTATCCTGCAGCATCACAGCAGAGTCCAGGGAGGAACCAGGTGAACACAGCAGTCCATGTGGTCCATTCTCTCAAAGTGTTTCCTCTGGAAGACCTCCTGCCACATATGGTGTAAAAAGATTGTAGCATCTGAAATGTCCATAACTAGCTCCTTAAGTAGCCTCTTGCACAGCCTCCATGGATACGAGAAAAACAAACAGTTCATTTCACACAACTGAACAGTCCCTTGTGCTCCTTCCCTCAAAGTGTTTCCTCTGAAGCTCTTCTGACACATTTAAACTTAGACAAACTTTACTGATCCAGAAGGGAAATGATCTGGACACAGCAGCTCACACATAATAATATAATATCATAATGAAGAGCAAAAATATAAATGGTAATAATAAATTCTAAATAAGTAGCAAAAAAGATAGCAAGAGACTGGTGTGAAATAAGACATAATTATATAAATATAAATGTGCAGGACAAAATAAAATAGAAAGATAAGTAATAAAATATAAAATCACAGCTTTATACAAGAGATCATAGGAAGACAATGCAACAATGATATGATGATTAACAGGACATAGGGCTATCTGTTATATAAGGGTGAATTGTTGTACAGTTGTAGGGAGTATTATCAGTTACATAAGGATGAGATATTGTACCGTTGTATGGAGTATGGTATGAATGTAGTCCTGTATCTCACACTGTTTGAACCTGTTGGAGAATGAGCTCCTCTGTCCCTCTATAGTCTGGTGCAGTGGGTACATTTGCTATCACATATGGTGTAAAAAACCTGTAGCATCTCAAATCTCCATAGTTAGCTCTTTAAGCAGCTCCTTAGCTAGTCTCTTGCGCGGTTTCCATGAATACAGGAAAAACAAATAACAAAATCTCATGATATGAAGTTAACTGAGCTCAAAAAACAAAAATTTCAAAAGCTCTGTGTGTGAGCCAGGTAGCCACAAAACACTCTGTTGCCATGGGAAACATGCAGGGTGTGTGTGTTAAAAATGTGTGAATGAAACACAACACAACTCCAGGTATGTTTTAGATGAGTAAACAACATTGTAACATAGATCAGAAAATAGAGTATTATCCTCTTGAGACGTGAGCTTTTGTCTGGTGTGCATTTTTTATTACTCCTTGCTATTTGGGATAAGTAGAACCTAATAAATAGTACCATAACTAAACTTTGTTTTTATATAGGAAGTAGTTTTTGCAAAAAATGATGTCCTCATGTGAGGACAATGGGTCGATCTTACTCTATGACACCAATAGACACCATTGGTTGAAAAATTATTATCTTCACCATCTGACATGCCTGTTTACGCCTATAAACTTTTTAAGTATATTAAAACTTTACTTAAGCAAATATATCACTTTTTTAACTGTTAACAACTGTAAATACTATTTACCTACTTCTATTGGTCTTGAGGCCAGCCTCGGGCTTGATGGTGCGTGGTCTCGGTTTTGTCTCGGTTTCGGCCTTTAAAAGTCTAGGTCTTGTCTCGATCTCGACCCTCAGAGGTCTTGGTCTTGTCCTAGTCTCAGGACTCCGTGGTCTCAGACTGGTCTTGGCCTCGATTAGTGTGATGTTGACTACCACACTATTAAACTCATCTAAATATTCTCAAGTTTAGCTAACAACATGGTACAGTCAATGACATTACATAGTCCCACATTTACTGATGCTCTAGTCTGCTATGATTACTAAAATGTATCACATTTTAATGCCATATCTATGGAGTAAGAAAGCTGTCAAAAATATTCGTGCGCATAAAATAGAAATCCGTGCGTATTTGAAAAATTACGACGTCGTAATTTTTCAATTCGTATTCTGATGGATAAAATACACACAATATATTTTATGTACGACTGGACTCATTTGAGAGTTTACAAATATTTATTTTATGCGCAACTACAGCCAAATATGCATGGATTTCCCAAATACGCACGGATTTCAATTTTATGCGCACGAATATTTTTGACAGCTTTCTTACTCCATACATATCAAGATAGAGACATTATTGTACATGAATACATTGGTTTTATTAATAAAATTTGGATATAAACTTTACCTTGCCATTTTTTTTCTTTTGGGATATTCCCGCCATTTTTCTTTGACTGAAATTGGTGTAATATTGTGATATGGTGTGGGCAGTGTCCCTCAGTGTGGCTAACTGGTCAAAGTTTTCAAAAGTTGAGTATTGTGGTGCTAAAATGTAATGTGAGACGCAGGGTCTCAAGAGGTTAAGGGCCCTTCAATAATTCAAACTATTCACACACGCTAACCACATCAATATTTGACACGTTTGAGTTTTCAGTTAGTCTTTGGCTAGAGAGACTACTTTGCCTTTGTAACTTTGTGGTAAAAAGCTGAAAGTTTTGTTTTATCTAGACCTATTATTTTCTTTCAGAGACAAGATTTACAATAAGGACGGGGTGATCCTTGCCTCAGCCTGGAAAACTTTTATCTGCATATTTTTGAGTGCTCAAGGAGACTACAGTATAAACATAAACACCCATATTTCTGACCTTGGCGGCTCCCTCCTGCTCCCGCACACGGTATTTCCACTCTAGTTTTGCATTCTTCACTTCACAGGATAAACGAGCGACAAACAGATCGACAATAAAGTGTACAATTTTACCTTTCTTTGGACTGTTTCGTGCCATTCCTGTGCTGTTGGGGGCAGTACGTGTCACCTGTGCGAGGCTTTTGTCGCTGTAGAAGTGACAAAGCGGAAGTTTTGGTTTGTCAGGATCAATGGTGAAAGAAGAAGTGAGGTGACTTCACTAAACTCAGGTATTTTACTATATATTCTTATTTTTTAAGTATTTTCTGCAATGATCGCGATCCACGGCTATGTAACACCATGCGACACGATGCTAGCTTTGTGTTTTGACGCGACATTTAGCGGAGCCTCCAAAAATAACTGGTTAACTGTTGGTGGAAACTTGGAATACGACCAGATTAGCATATTATTGTTGTTATAATACTTATTTGTGATCACTTTATAATAGTTAGCTTGTTTTAGCTCGTTATTTTTTTTTTACATTTGAAACTTAAACAGATTTAAGCTTTCAGATGGACAGAAACAGGTGTCAGCGTGATGGGAGACTGCTAGCTCAAGACAAATGATTGTTTACGATGTTATTTACACGTTTTACTTTGTTCCCTGCTGTTTAATTTAGTTCAAGTTGTTGTAAAGAGTATGCAGGACAATTTACTTAGTTGTGTTTGCCAAAGATGCTGTGAAGTTATGTGAAACGGCTAAAGGATGACCAGATGTTCCTATTTACCCAGGACAGTAAAAAAATTTTGCCCTGTGTCCCCTGTCCTAGCAGATTTATCCAAAACCACTGATTTGTCCCAGTTTTATATAAGAAATTTTCCAGTTGTATCCTTTACCCACTAATAGCAAAGAGGGGGACAGATTGTCATTTGTTAAGCTAAAACACAGAAAACTGTAGTTGAAAATAGTACTGACAGAAGTCCCTCAGATTATGACTGATCCACAAATGAGTCGAGAATGGACAATGTTGCGCACTCTTTTCACAATTTTATTTACATCAACCGTCCCAACCTGAGTGTGTCGCAGTTTTGAATTTTGAAAATCTGGTCACCCAACATACACATGAAACTGTATTTTAACTCCTACAGATATTGATTCTTTCTTTTGTCACTTTGTTTTGACCAAGCAGATGTGAGCTCCATAAAATAATATCAGCAGTTGAGCTTCTACTATAAAGTCAATGGTCAGGCTACTATGCTGCAGTTATCCACCTCCAAATACACAGTTATGTAGGTTTCAAAATAAATCTTAGTTTGAAATTGAAATTATGCTAAATTAGTTTGACCAGATGTCCCTGTTTACTTGGAACTGTCTCAGTTTTGAGCCCTGTGTCCCCTGTCCCAGCAGATTTATACAAAACCAGTTATTAGTCCCAGTTTTATACAAGAAATGTCCCAGGTGTTCCTATTTTTGACTGATTTGTTCAGTGCCAACAGTAAAGAGAGGCATAAATCGTCATTTGTTTAGGTAAAATTCAGAAAAGCTGCTTAAAATGACCAAAACACAAAGAATATGTGACTATACGGACTCATATGTTAGTCATGAATGGGCTGAGTGCGGAACAGTTTTCTTTAATTACGCACTCCTTTCCCAGCAGATTTATCCAAAACCAGTGATGAGTCCCAGTTTTATACAATAAATGTCCCAGGTGTCCCTATTTTTGACTAATTTGTTCCCAGCCAACAGTAAAGAGAGGCATAACTTGTCATTTGTTATAGAAAAGCTGCTTAAAAATGACTAAAACACACAAAAAATGTGACATGTTAGTAATGAATGGGCCAAGTGTCGAAAAATTTTCTTTAATTACTCACACATTTCACAATTTTATTAATTCCAACCACCCCAAACCGAGGGAGTCCCAGCCAAGCATGCTGTGAAGTTATATGAAACGGCTAGCTACAACTTAGAACAGGTGTCTCCAACCTGTAGCTCGGGAGTTACTAGCAACTCTTCACCAAAAAGTTCCATAGAATTTTATATATTTTTTTTTATTTTTGCAGGACATGCCCAAGAAGAGGAAACGCAGGAAGTCTACATCTTCAAGTGAGGATGATCATGCAAGGGTAAGGAGTGTTAGGCATGTTCTATTCAAAATAACGACTGGAATCGATCGATTAAAAGCAGAAAGAATTTATTCCCTATTCAATACAATTCTAATACAGAGCTCTGGGTTAAATCGCTGCCCCTGATGGCCTACAGCTACACAGGACTTAAATCAGGCGATCTGAAATATAAAACATCAGTATGAATATGCAAGTAATATGTTATGCAGGTATACGCCTTGGATCCTCCCTGAAGCTTCTACATATTCCTTCACTGTGAGGGGATGACAGCCAGGTTTAAATTACAGCCAAGTCAGTTTTGGCTTGGTACCAGCCAAGACAGCTCCACTTCAGCTGCTCTGTAAAGACTTTCCTTAAAAGCACACAACCTTCATTTCTGCAAAGGGATTGCCTTAAAAGCATATATGTTTTCACACAGTGGTACCTTTAAACAGATATATCAGATTTCAGTGGTTAAGCATTAATTCATTGTGTAATATTCAAACAAATTCATAATTTCAGTATTTAATATACACGTGTGGTGCACTCACAATAGTTTATTACTTGATACAGCCTTCAGGAGTCATTGGTTTTCTGTGATGCTGATTTGTTTATTTTTATTTATTTGTTTATTTAATTTATAATGTATAAAAAGACATTAGCATTGTCCTAACTTTAAACATACAAGAAATTAAATTAAATGAAAAGGAAACAAGAGTAATTTCCAGACAATTAACACTGATAGTTGCTTTAAAACATTTCAAATTAATAGATTCCATTTCAGTCACAGATATTAATAAATTGCCGAAATCTTCACTTTTATGTACAGCAACTTAGTTTTCTTTTTCATACATACATATTGCACGACAGGGGTGAAACATTGCATTGTGTTGTGCAAAGAATTTCTAGTCCTAAATCCACTGTTAGGAAGAAAATGTATTTAGTTACAAAATACTGAATATCTGCATTAAAATGTCAAGGTACCAGTCAAGGTACTGTATTCTGAATACTTAAAATGATTCACGCAGAGTTGCATTTAAGTTATAGTGTTAAGACGCAGCATAGGATTCAAAATAGCCTTTACTTTTGTTTCCCTGTTGGTTGTGCATTTCCTATCCCTAACTAATTATGAGCAGTTTGAGGCCTAAATTGTGTGATCAAGCACCACCAGGTATTTGATTTTAGAAAAGTAACTGTATTACCGCCAAATGAATAACACTGCTTAAATCACCAGCTTCACCACAGCCACATCCTAATGGTCCACTTCAGCCCAAATAGTGTTCTTAAGAATATACCTATGAATGTATGTTTGTTACCTTGTTATTTATTGTTTTTAAATCAATTTTTTGGAAACATTTAATTTGTCTCTAAATGTCCAAATGGCTTTACTCTCACTTCAACAAGGCCTTATGGCATGCAAATCTTTTCTTTTATTTAATTACATGTTGGTACTGCATTGTCTGTCAAGCCAAAACCTGAGCTTGCTTTGTACCAGTAATGTTAAATATTATGTTCTCCATCCCCAGACATCAACAAAGAAAACTAAAAAAGCCAAGAGGAAATATACATCGCACCACAGCAGAGAGAGGAGGTAGGTGTAATTTATTGTGAATATGGATTACTTATAATTATATACTTACTTACTCTAATTACTAACGTTAATGTTTTCTCTCTGTTGTTTCATGTAGCAGGTCACCTAAAACCAGAGAAGACCACCGCTCTCGTAAAGATGAGACCCAAAGCATACGCCAAACTAAAAAGCTGGAAAAAACAAGATCCAGAAGAGCAGAGTCCCCCATTTTTAAGGAAGAAGAACGTAGAAACAGTAAAAAATCTGAAAGCAAGTCATCCAAACACAGTTCTAGTAAAACATCTTCCAGGGATAAGATTAGAGCACAGAAAAGGGACATTTTAATACCAAGATCAGTTTCAGTTGCTCAAAAAGTTCAAAGCCAGAATGAATCGTCAAGAAAAAAGAGATGCGATGTTTCAGAGACCACCTCCATTAAAGCCACAGAAGCAAAAAAGCCCTTGCTAATTCCCAAAGATCCAGCGCCTTCTAAGAAAAGTGAGCCAGAAAAACAAAAACGGACATATGCAAAAACTAGCCTTAAACCAGCTACCGGTGTTTTGCCATTGCATCAACACAAGATACTGAAAGCTAGCTCCATTGTCCCTGCTCAACTTCCTTCTAAAAAAACAGATGTGGCAGAAAAATTTGCAAAAGACTACAAAATTTCAGAGTCATCCAGTGGCAGTACAAAATCATCAAATCAAAATGTTAAAAAGACAGATTCCAAGCCAGCATTTCGTAACAGCTTTTTACCTGTGGACCCCTCCCCATCTCTCACCTCTAATTTGCTTTCAGACTTCAAAATTCCTGCTGTCAGTGTTAAAACTGTTGCCGAGGGGAAATTGGCAAAAGACAAAAATAAGACATTGCCAGTAAAAAGTGATGATAAAGCTTTACCTGTGCACTTTACAGACCAATTGTCATCTAAAACTACTGCTACTAAAACTACTACCTGGGCAACCACAGCTACAACATCTAACCTTAAAACAACAGTTAAAGTCTCACCATCACAGCAGCGAAAGACTCTAAAAGAAACCAGTACTGTCCCTTCTTTTCCACCCCCTGCACTTCTGAAATTTAAAATCCCTAAAAAGAAAGTTGTGGCAGAAATATTAGTAAAAGATAACACAACTCTACCTATTCACAGTGATCAGACCTCTTTAAAGCTTGAGTCGGCATCATCAGTTACAAAGCACCATGAAAGTAGCATGGCAATATCCCCTGTTCAAAATGTCCAAACACAAGATCCCTGGATTTCAGCTGCAAACAGTTTTTCTTCTCATGCTGTTCCATCACCATGGCAAGACCAGGTAAAGCACTTTCTCATACATTTTCAAAATTTTAAAGGTTCACTATGCAACTTTTCTAGCTGATGGTCTGCCACATACTTGCTTTGCATGAAATATTTTTTATTGTTTTCATATATTTTTTTATTATATAATAGAACAAATATATTAACAAGATAAGCACGAAGACATTCCTAAACACTTTCAATGGAGGCAACCCTAACCCTGGTTATGAGAAACCGGGATACTGAAGCTGGTATATTCCAATAGTATCACGGTTACTGCAAACAACAAAGTTGAGTGCGCTTGCGTCCAAAAGACAAACACGTTTCAGTCTTTCTGTGACAACAGTAGCCAACATAAACATGAGTGAAATGACTGTAAAAAAAAAAAAAAAAAAAAAGAGCTGCGGCTCGCTAAACCTGCACAATCTGCACTTGTATGACCTGCACATGTATCATCTCTGAAAAGTTAAACATGAACCATCTCCAGCACAGAACAGACTCACCATCAGCAGCACATCCTGTCACAGAAAGAACACACATATTTCACTGAGTTGTGTCCTTTAGTCTGACAGAAGCTGAGCGCATCAGGGCACAAGGAGCAAGCTGTTTTTCAGCGCCTATGTTTATGCAAATTAGCCATGTGGTTTTAAGGTTTTTTTTCTGTAAAACGTAAACAAATGTGCCCAAAGCTGCTTTATATTATCAAATAGGCTGATGTGGCTCTATAGGGGTTATGGTTTATATGTTGTAAAGCTGAGTTTATGCAGAAGATTTTCATTAAGAATCTGCTGCAGTATGGAACATGTACAATAGTGTTTGGAAAGTTTGGTTTGATCTACCAGTGGATCATAGCTCCTTACCTGGTTAAGAACCTCCCGAGCTTCCTATGCTAAATGAGCTCATGGTTGTTTATATTTTTCCTAGTTTATAAAATGTATATATTTTTTGCGCTTGCGCATTTGTAAAATTATGTGAAGAAACTACATTTGATCATGTATACAGGGATATGAGTATCCCGCTTTCTCCGCGCGCATGTATGCAATATCCTGAATGCCGGGGATATGGATAATAAACGGGATACTAATGTGCATGTATACGCACTCGGCATCCAGCCTCCTGTTGATTTTCCCAACGGCGTTGCGTAGTTTCACTTATTTTCTAATCTATTTTGGCAAACAGCTCTTGTTTAAGCGCAGTGATGGTATGACTTGTTGGTCGCGGGCGCGGCCGCTGCGTCCTCATCCAAGCGGGCTGGGCCAGGTATGCTAGCCTTAGCTTCGGCCCGAGGCGCAGCTCCCGCATGCAGTTGTTCCTCTTTATTTGGTGTTGGTATTTAGTTTTTTTGGGTATGTTGGTCGCGACCCGATATTACAGCAACTTTAAGTTGGCAACCAAAGCTTTGTTGCGCTATTTCCAAAGCGAAATGGTTATTCAGAGAATGTTCCTGTGTGGAGCTCAACGAGACACAACTTTACATGGCGCTCCCTCACCCGTATATCCACCACTAGGCCAAGTTTCCGGTCAGACCTGTGGAGAGACGAGCCTATTCATAGTAAGAATGCATGTTTTTAAGACATCTAATTAAAATGCATGATAGATACGTTTAATACAAAGGCATCTTTATGGAGACAAGTATGTGGCAGACTCTCCACAAGAAAAGTTACACCTTTTTAAAATAACACAACATAAATTGAACATTTTGTGTTTTTGCGTACTGTTACTCCAGACGCAGGTGGTTGAAGAGCTGCACCAGGCTCGCTCTGAAAAACTCCTGGAGGTGGATGTGATGCAAAGCTATGGGGAGCTCACCTGCATGGAGATAGATCCACCAGAAGAGGGCGCCACAGACTCAGAATGTAAGTAGTGGCATTGTCAATTAAAGGAAAAAGATATTTATAGGACTTGAGGAAAAAGTCCCTAAAGCCGAGCGTCTCTTTTCAGGTAAACAACTACCTCAGCAGGACATTATTATCGTGCTGGACACCAACATTCTCCTCAGTCACCTGGATTGTGTGAAAAAAATTGTGAGCCGTGGTTTAAAAGGTAAAGTATTAAGAAAAAAGAACATGTTGTAAATCATCATTAATCAGAATTATATATTCTACAGCTGCATTTGAAAGGAACAGAATGTATATTCAGATCTATTCCAGTCAATGGTGTTTAAGGCTAGACACTGCTGGTGCATAGGAAAAATCCGACATTTAGATAAATTTTACTTTGGAACCTTTCCTCTAGTTTCTTAGAAAAATTGTATTACATCATGTATTTTTTTTCATACAAATATCAGGCATTGTTTATGGAAAAAATGTCCAAAAATATTTAGGACAACAAAAAAGCTGAATTAGGAGCAAAATTATTATCATATACATAAGAATTGTAAATTAAGAGTTTATTATGAATTGAATAAGTCAAATACAAATATTAAATTGATGCCATTTAACATGTAGTCAACTTTGCATTTCTTCCTCTCTTGCAGGGGTGGGCTTACCAGTGGTCCTTATTCCGTGGGTCGTGCTTCAGGAGTTGGACTCTCTTAAAAGGGGGTGCGGCTTGTCTGGGTCTGTGGCTCACCTGGCCATACCCGCCATCTCCTACATCTACAACTGTTTAAAGCGCAAAGAGAGCTCCCTGTGGGGCCAGTCCATGCAGCAGGCCGCAGACAGCTCCAGTGAGTGATACAGTGATGGGCAAATCAGTATCAATTCTCATGCAGAAATATCAATACTTACTATTTAAATATATATGTTTTGTTTAGCTTTAAATGTATTTATTGAAGATTGACTTAGCAGGAGACAACATTACATGTTGTTCCTGAAATGTACCATTCATAACATCAGAAAAATATAAAACATTCCCATAAAAGCTAGCATTATATATATATATATATATATAATAAGAATTTAATAACTGAATACAGTGGACCCAGGAGTCCTCTAGGTATTTCACTTACTATATATGAACAGATATTTAATTTTTATATCAGTTTAAGATGGGGTTTACTATACATCTAATACTATACACCAGGGGTGTAACAAAGCCACAGCTTAATGAGGCTTGCAGCAGTCATTTTAGGTCTATTTCAACATATTGTGACATTATTAAGGCTATAGTGGTAGAAATACTTATATTTTACAAAAAAAAATTTGTCTGAATGGCCATAGACACCCCTGCTATACACTAAAGCACATATTCTTTTTAAAAGTAGAAGAGTGTCAATGCATTTTAAACGCAAAACCCACTGGTTTTGTAACTCCCACCCACAGAGTGATAATGACTCTTCACTACATTATAATTAAGTGCAAATAACAGCTGTTAATGGTTTGCAGTGATAGAACAAGGAGCTGACACGTCTCCTCATGTCTTTTCATGTTCAGAGCTGTAATACAATTGATGAGGCATTAACAAGATTCTTAACCTTCAAATTTAACTTAAGCTGTTACACCATTACTGCTGCTTTTTTTCCTACATAGCATTAACAGCTATAATTATGACACTCAATAAGAATGAATAAGAATTAGTTTTAGCTTATCTGCAATTTGAATGTGATTTAATACACTTTTTAAGAATCTATTGTATATATGAAACTCTAGGTGGCACTGTTAAACTGCATCTTTCTATTCTGTTTATGGCTGCTCTGCTCCTCAAGGGCAAGCTCCACCATCTTTTAACATGTTCTTTATTATTTGAAATGTTTACATATTACAATTATCATAGTGTTATTTTTTTTTTTAATAATTGTATCCTATAATGTGTATTGTATACATTTAAATAATAAATATCCACAGGAAAAATCCATAGTACTGTTAATAAGCAAGCAAGAAACATGCACAGTAGGTCATATTCTTCAGTTAAGGTTGTCCTGACCAAGACTAGCTCAAGATCTGGAGATGGGTCCCCTTCACTAAAGGATAGTGGGTCAAATGCAGAGGACAAATTTTCTTATGGGGACAATAAAGTGTACCTTAATCATAAACACTTTGAACAATTTTAGTTATAAAGACAAGTAATTATATATGTATTTTTAATAATCATGACATTTACTTAACTGTTCTTTTAAAGCCTCAGCTCTTTATAAAACCATCTCATGCACTGAAAAATGCCATCAGACCTTAATTGAATCTGCCCCCTCCCTGCTCTGTCCTTGTGTATGCGTCATGTCTCACTGTGGTACCCTCTCTTTCTCCGGCCTCATGGTGTTTTTTTGTTGTTTTTTTTTATTCGTTCTCCCTCACTGTCCCCAGATGGTCTCCACGCAGAGAATAATGACGATCGCATTCTGCAGTGCTGCCTGCAGTACCAGCGCCTGTATCCAGAGTGCGCTGTCATCTTGTGCACGTGAGTCCCCTCCCCCAACCTCCATTCTGCTGCTACTGCAAAGTGTGTGTCCTCTACAAATAATACACACTACATGCATGTGACTGTAGCCAGATAGTTCCAGTTCTGCTTAGAGAAAGAGAACAGCCAGACAGGATAATTGGGAGTGAATAGATGTGCTGAACAAGGAGAATTCTCATGAGGAGTTTCTTCTCACAATAGCATTGTTTTGTTGTTGACCTATCTCTTTATTCCTATGACCTATTTTCCTTCTCAACCAGCACAGGTATCCATACACTATCAAATATTTAAAGGGCCCATATTACGCTATTTTCTGATCTATGTTGTAATGTTGTTTCCTCGTCTAAACATACTCAGGTGTTGTGTTTTGTTTCATTCACGTATTTCTCTCATACTGAAAACACTCTGTTCCACATTGTGATTTCCATGTGGTAATACAGAAAGTGCTTCACTGTGTTTTTACATTTCATGCACCTTCACTAGAATCATTTGGATGATTTCAGATCTGGAATTGCCAATCTCTACTGAATTAAAGGGAAAAACTACTGCTTCATGACATCTTAAGGTGGAACGGAACATTTTGAGCTTTAGAGATGAAGATCGACTTATAATAAAGGGTTACTCAAACATGTGTGAATGAAACAAAACACAACTCCTGGTCTGTTTTTGATGAGGTAACAACATTATAACATGGCTTAAATCTCCCAGGAGCCAATTTTGTGTAATATAGGACATGGAATAAAATAAATCAGTATTTAATTAATAAAGGTTCTGTACAAGAGGTGAGGTAAGGAAGTATGGTACAAAATTAAAATGGGTTTATACCAGAACCAGAACGTAATCAAACCAAGACTATATCAGGACTAAACCGGGTTCAAACTGGGTTCAAACCAGGTTCAAACCAGTACAACTGTGCATGTGTCCTTATATAACTGTGACCTCAATTATTGTCTGTCTCACACTGTTTCATTATCTCTCTTTCTGCTCCAGTAATGATAAGAACCTATGCAGCAAGGCTCTGCTGAGTGGGGTCAAGGCTTACAGCAAGAATGACCTGGAGACTGAAGTTGCCAGATCCAATGTCGGTTCCACTTTCCTGCAAAATGCCCAAACTTCTACCACAACTCAACCTCACAGAAACAGCATTTCAACATTACCGCAAGGCAGCATCAGTGTACAAACACAGGAGGTACACAGGCAAGAAGCAGCAAGCCTCTCAGGGAAGGAAGGTGAGCCAGGGATTAAATTTAAAAAAAATTTAATAAATACACAGACATTGGTTTATTCCGTTCATCAGTCATTAGGTTTGTATTACCTGCACATATACATTCTTTAAAGTTGCACTATGTAAATTTCTGTTGGGGGTCCGTCACCTGTTTGTTTCTATGGATCTGTCATTGCTCTGCCTGAAACATTCCACAGTATGACATTAAACAGCTCTTCCTTACATTTATTCAAATACAGGAAGTTTTATAGCTCAAAGAGGCATTCTGACTGTGAGCAGAGTTGACTCTCCACAGATCTGACCTGTAACTTGGCCTAGTTTGGTCTCCATGAAGATAGAAAAGTAAAATGTGAAACTTGTGACAAATTACTTGTGACAAAGCAATAACATCTCCATGGAGAAAAGTATTTGATGGACCCTCCTCTAGAAAAGATTAAGGGGGCCTATCATGCAAAATCTACTTTTTAGAGCTTTTACCCATGTTAGAATTGTTTCCTTCTCATTTCCCCTCTCGAAGTTGTATTTAGAATGATTTGTGCATATTTGAGCAATTTTTCTTCTCCTGTATCCAAGAAGTCATTGCGCCAATCTACCTATGTCATAGATTATAGCTATATAACAGATAAAAGCATAATATCATATCTTCTTTGTTCCTGTTCCTGAATGTATGAAATAACCCTGATAGCCCAATTACAAAAGGTCAAGCTGAGGTTGTGTGATATAATACGCAATATACTAAATACATATTACATTTTGGTAATACTTAATGATAACTTGATGATATTCTTCATAAAGCATGAACAAAAACTTAAGTCATAATGAACAAATAGTTTCATACAAATTAATAAGCCTTTATTTACTGTATTGTTTAATTTAAAGGGCTGTTTGCAGTGGTCCAAAATTATTCCTCTCTTTATGTATTCTGAGTGTCCTAATTATTCACTGCGATGAGTTTATAAGCACTTATCGTTACTAGCAGAGTTCTGACATTATGAAAACGCTAACAACAACTAGCACAAACTATGGCTTAATAATTAAATGCTGACAGTACACAGCAGACTTATTTTGACCTCTAGAGCTACTTAAATATAATATATCTGTACTGTAGCGGGGCAAGACACATTTTGATCTCAATACATGGTCTTTAAGGGGTTAGGGTTAATAGTAATTAGCATTATTAATGAAGTCTTTATTAAAGGTGCTTTTCAGGTTCGGGGCCCTCCACCATGGAGATGCTATTGCTTTGCCTGTAATGTTCCACAATGTGGTATTAAACTTATATAAGATGCATTTATTCAGTTATGGGTGTTTTTATAGCTCAAAAGTACCTTTCAAAAACATGCATTCTTACAGTGAGTGGGGTCACCTCTTCACAGATCTCACCTGTAAATTGGCCCTGTTGCATGTTCTTTTTGTCTCTATGGAGACTGAGAAGTTTATTGTCATACTTTGGAACATTGCAGGCAAAGCAATAACATCTCCGTGGAGACCAGCAACCAGAAAAGTAACATAGTGCACCTTTAAGGCTAAATGTGGTGTAATTTATGATAAAAGTGTTATCATCATTTATTGTTTTCTTTTTTACCTATGTGGTCTTTTTAAAATAATTCCACCATTTTGCATTTCATCCCACAGATGACAATCCACTAACCAAAAACGCTAGGAGAAGTAACTGGCACCTGAATAGACTTGGGTGTGAGTTTGAAAACTGCCTGCAGGAGGCGCTGTCGAACGTGCTAGAAGCAGAGATGAAGGCTGCATTTGGTGACCTCTGGCAGGAGGTAAACACGTGCTCTGGGAAATCATGTTTGGCTCAGTCTCTCCATCACTGGCTGTGTTCAAATGCACATCAGAAATCTGATTATAGTCTGATTTTTGGAGTTATCTGATAATTAAAATGTTGTTAATAGAGTGGCTGCAGTTACATTTACAGTCTAAATCAGATTATTATGACCTTTTTAGAGTTCTAAAACTGTTAAAATGTAAACCGCATAATAAACATGAATAACAAAACATTACTAATAGATAATAGTAAGAAGAACTGTGCACATAATTGTGCATATTGTGTATATTTTTATTTAGATTAATTTCCAATTGTCAGTGATCAGTCAAGTATTTTTTGTTGCATTATAAGAGAATATGTAAACCTTTTTTTTTTTTATTTTGGTGTTTCTAATCTTTCACATCAGATTTTGCTGTTTGTGTGTCATTTAAGCAATCTTTAAGCTCCCAAAATCAGATAATAATCAGATTTTGGTGTGCATGTGAACATAGTTACATCTGATATGAGTACGGTAATCTGATGTCTTTCACACCTGTGCAGGATTTGACAATGAAAGTTACGCAACAAAGGGCAAACTAGTGTGGCAAAGACAAAAAATAATAATAAATTAAAATTGAAGACTAAAATTCCTTGTACCTGGTCCCCCAAATAGAACAGTTACGCTAAAAATTTAATGATTAACGCATGATCGACGTGTGTCACCAGATGTTTTTAAGGGTCAGATTTCTTTTGTGCTGTTAAAGGTACATTGTGCAACTTTTCTGGTGGAGGATCCATCAAATGCTTGCCATTGATGGATCCTCCATTTGTCTGAAATGTTACCCGATATGGTATCTTCATCACCATCATCATCATTGCATTTATATAGCGCCTTTCAAGATACCCAAAGCTCTTTACAGTCCATTATTCATTCATTCATTCTAACACTAAGTGATGGTAAGCTACTACTGTAGCCACAGCTGCCCCAGGGCAGACTGACGGAAGTGAGGCTGCCAATCTGCACTATCGGCCCCTCCGACCACCACCATCACTCACGTACATACAACTTTCATACTAGGCAATATGGTTGAAGTGTCTTGCCTAAGAACACAGTGGCAGTTTTTGCCACTGGCTCCCCACTGTGGCAAGTGAAATTCCCACTGGAATTCCACTTGCCCCATCCACGTTACTATCCAATCCCGGCCTTGCTTAGCTTCTGAGATCTGACGCGATCAGGCTTTGACAAGCCAGTATGGCCACAATGATACTGTGGAACATTCCAGGGAGAGCAATGACATATCAATTGAAACAAGCAGGTGATGGACTACCGACTAAAAAGTTACACAGTGTACAGTGTACCTATAACGCAAACCAAAAATCAGATCTAATTATTGGGTTGTCTGATTATTTTAGTTATCTGATCTATACTGGACATGTAAAAGTATACTCCCACACTGTAGTTATATTGATGTTTGTATTTTGATGTTGACAGATTGTTTTAATAAAGCCTCCGTGGTCTCTTGACGACATCCTGAACTGTCTGAAGAAACACTGGATCGCTGTTTTTGGACATGTGGCGCCACGGGCCAAACAGCAGAACGTCTTAAACCTCATTCATTTCTTCTCCACAGGTATGCAAGGGTTTCAGCTTCCTGTTTATAGGCGCCATTTTGAGGACTTTTGACCACAAGAATATTTAGTTTTGAATTGCTCATTTATATCACACTAATACCATAGACAGTGGTACTATGCCATTCACAATTATAATTTTGAGAAAAATATATATCAATAAACTGGGAAAATATAAATATGATATCAAAAAGGTAACAAGTGTACAGTATATATCTAGATGGCTGTTGCTAAGTTAAAAAAAAATCTATTTAATTAAAAAAAGCGTGCATAATTTCTGTTTTTAGTAAAATGGGCACTTGTTTTACCCATCAAAATTTGGGAATAATGAGTCTAATCTACAATCTGGCTTTAAAAGATGAATAGAAAAACATTAATGATAAGTGACAGTAAGTCTATTCTTTTTTTATAGGTTAACCTTTGACTGTACATTATTGTCTTAAATTGTAATTTTTTCATTACACTCCATACAGCAGTTGCTCTCATACACCAACTACCACCAGAAAACAGTTTTGGTTTTCCATGTACCATCAGATGTAAACCATGTCTATAACGGGACTATTCCAGGTCTAAAAGTGGACTACATTATTTCCACAGTAGTTCTAAACCAGAAATTGTTCAAAAATTGTTAAAAATAACTCTAAATCAGACAGACTCACAAAATGAAGTGCTGTCTAAGTACCACCTGCAGGATCTCGCCCCACAGTTTGAGAAACACTCCCACAGACTGCATAATGCTGCATACTGCCATGGCTTCTATGAGTAACCCCTTCTTATCCGTATCTTATTTAAGCATCCTGCAGATTTTGGTTAGTCATCCTTTGGGAATAAGTATGTTTTTTTTTACCACTGGGCTGTTGCTGCACCAGAACCCCACAAAACTAAATCCAGATCGGGGTCAGAGGCTTAAGCAGGGCAATAGAATGTGTGTCAGAAAAGCGCTGAGTCGCCCACTGCACCAGTCCTGTCTCTGGCTCTTATCATGAGTCTAATAACATTACTGGAGCCTGGAGTGTTGAGAGCCTGTCCGTCCCTCTCTCCTCCTCTGCTGTACCTCTCCGTCTAATCCATCCAGGAATGTGCATTAGCTGAAACAATAGAATTCAGAGGCGTTGTTTATTGGTGTTTTTTTTTTTTTTTTTTTTTTTGGTTGGTTATTATAGCATGACTCTGGAGTTCTTGGTTTTTCACACTGGTTGGCTTTGTGCCAAGGTGTGAAAAAGGAGGGGGAGAGAGAGAGGGAGGAAGTGGTGAGAGATGGGTGAGGTGCATGGAGAGAAGGAGGGAGAGGAGGAAAACGAGGGAGAGAGAGGGAGAGAGGGGAGGGGGAAGAAAAGGGAGGAAGTGATGAGAGAGAAAGAGAGGGGTAGGGAGAGATAGAGGAAGCAGTGAGAGAGGGGGTGGGACAGAGGAAGCTGTCAAAGAGAGAGGTGCATGGAGAGAGGGAGGGAGAAGAGGAGGAAGACTGGGGGAGGGGAAGGAGAGAGGGGGAGGGAGAGAAAAAGAGTGGATGAGAGGAGGTAAGGAGAGAGAAGGGGGAGGGAGACTATGTAAAGGAGAGGGAGAGAAAGAGAAGGAATGGTGAGAAGGAGGGGGTAGATAAGGAGAACGATTGAGGGGGAGGGAGGGAACAGAGGAAGCGGAGGAGGCAAGGAGGGAGAGGAGGAGGAAGAGGGGGAGGGATGAACCAAATGTGAAACAAATCCAGGAGTGGAAAAGTACTGCATGTCATTTCTGGTATTTTCTGAAGCGTTAATGTAATTTGTTAGTTTTACAATTGTATGTGAGGGCAGAGTTGGCAGTGATCTGTTTAAAGTTCAAAAAATGCTTCCCCACATTAAACTAGAATAATGTTAATAAAATAAAACACAAGTCAAGAATTTTTCATATTACAAAATATATTATTCTTTATCCATCACATTAAAACTATTTGTGTAGATTTTTTTATTGCTTACAGCTCATGAAGCTCTAATACTACTGTAAACTACCTACCTTATTATTGGTGTTTTTCAGATTATAAAATGTGATGATGTCATCATCTCAGATTAGGCCAAGAGACAGTTTTTTTTCTTATTGATTTATTGATTGATTGATTATCCATAAGTATTCGTGGATTTCAGCTTCTTGTTTATAGGCGCCATTTTGAGGACCTTTGACCACAAGAATATTTGTTTTGATTTGCTAATGTGTTATATATCTCTCTGAAACTCATTGATAGTAGGAGCTTTGCAATTCACAATTACAGAAAAAAATAACAGCTGAAAATATGATCAAACTGAATACAATTTTAGGTAATAATATGAAATCATAATATGATATCTAGACATGAAAAAAATCTTTTTAGTGAAATGGGCATTCATTTTACCCCTCAAAACTTGCATGAGGGAATCAAGAGTCAGTATTCCTTATTGATTACATTGTACTTTTCCATGAAATATCCAGAAGTTCATTTCACAAATATTGTGCCTGATCTGACGTATTGTGACTATATTCATGACAATACTCATTTCAGCTGTGCTCCATCTGCTTGAAATATTATTGATCAGTGGTCTATAGCACATGGTGATGTCATCTGCCACTCAGCAATAATGTGTAATCATCACTGTGGGACTGTTAAGGGATGAAGTCATCACTCTCGACCAGTGGATTTCCAGCCTTATTCAGCGTAATGGCACTGTGGTGATTTTAACCTGCTCTGTGGTTTTGAACTGTTCTAACATTCAAAATTATACAAAGTGATATGTGTAGTCTTCATGTTTACCTCTAGAGTTTTTTGGGGTTTTTTCCAACAGAAATCATCAATTTATTTCTATTTTTCTTTTTAATCTTGGCCAAAAATTGCTAAATTCTTTCATTGGATAAACAGATACACCGTCTGATATTATTTTGTGTGAAACCATTTGTGTCTTGATTTGTTTATTCATCAGGTTGATTCATCAGGTTTGGATTGAACGATTGGACTTAAAGGTGCATTGTGTAACCTTTCTCCTTGGAGATGTTAATGCTTTGTCTGGAATGTTTCACAGTATGGTATTAAACCTTTCTATCTTAAAGGAGACCAAACCAAACCAAGTTACAGGTCAGATCTGTGGAGAGACTCGCAGTCTGAAGGCCTGTTTTTATAAGTATTTTTGAACTATAAAACCACCTGTAATTGAATGAATGTAAAATAGAGCTGTTTAATGTCATACTGTGGAATATTCCAGGGAGAGCTATGACATATCCATAAAAAACAGAAGGTGACGGATCCTCAACCAAAAAGTTGCGTAATGAACCTTTAAACATCCCATTAAACCACATACATGTAATACTGAACAAGTCTGACTGACTTGTTCATACAAGCCTCAATACAAGCTTGGATTTGGAAGTAATTTTTTCCAGAGCAGATCTCATTTGTCATGGCAATAAACTCCATTATAAAACATATTGTTAAAGACACACCAGTTCCACTCTGTGTTTCCTGTGGTACATGTACTATTGCTGGTATTCGGGACCCTCTTCAGTTAATTATTTATTTTACTTAGATAGAAACCTTTTAGTTACCTTATCCTTCTTTTCTTATCTATGTTTTTGTCTCATTTCAACCATGTTTAGACCTAATTTAGGCCGGAAATGGTCCAGTATTAGATCTAGCAGTACTCGTAAAGCCGAATATTATCATAGGCGATACTTTGTGTGCAAAGAGAAGCACTGCGCTAGGTGACACTGTAATTACTGTATTAAATGTACTATTGTTTTCATTTCTATTTCCTGTGTTGCTTTAGAGTTCAGTTAAATATATTTCCTATGCTGCTACTGTAATTAGTTTTGGTCTGTTTTTTTCTAGGTAAAGATGCGGACCAGAATTCTACTTTAGCAGCACTGCTTGACGCTAAGGACCTGTTAAAAGTATTTGAGAAAAGTTCAAATCGTATTCCTGGTGCTCTTTCTGTCGTCAACAACATCTTAAACACCCTTCAAACTCAGGTCAGTGTCCTCTTTTATATAAACCTTTTTTTTTTTTGCAAACAGCCAGGATAATGACTGACTGGAAAAAACTATTAGCGCTCTGTCCGTGGAGCCCTGTGTTTGTGTATGGCGAGTTTGATTGGATATAATTATTTAATTGCTCTAATGGCTGTCTGTGCAGGGAGAAGCTACAGTCGATGATGTGGTTATGAATGAAGCAGAGGACGAGAAACAGACCTCATCCCCTCAGGTCTCTCACAGCCAAGTCTGGGCCCTCTTTGAGAACATTTGGGAGCATGTTTATCAAGCAAGGTACATGACTAGTTCTGTTTTATCACTTAGATTGCTTTGATTTGGTCTTAAAGGGACTGTTCTACACTGTTTTCTGAGCTATGTTATAATCCTTCTCACAAACATACCTGGGATTGTGGTTTGTTTCAGTTACAGATGTCTAACACTGCATATTTAGGCTGAGTTCTCACAGACAGAAAACACTGTTCCACCTTGTGATGACATGCACCTTCACTAGAATCATACAAACATGGAAAAAAAAATTTGGTCATTTTGTGTTAAAAAACAAAAACAAAAAAAAAGGTTTAAAAAATGGTTAATAAACATGGTTCCCACGGTCATCGAAATCCTAGAAAAGTCATGGAATTTTTGTATCTCTTTCACGCAACTACAGCATTCTGTTAAGTTATCATTAGGATATTATGATTATTTCTGGACGTATGCGCCTTTTGTTTAAAAGAAATGACAATAAATGCATTGACAGTATTCTGAATGTTAAATTCTATACTATAATACCAAACCATAAGGTGAGTGGAAAGGGTTAACATTTCATATTTAGCCCTAAAAATATGATCAATTCTACACATGTAGGGTGCCGTAAAGCCATGGAACTTTCACTTTAGTTAATAAATTATAAATCCTCAGACAGAGCAGTGCCTACGGTTAGCATCACACTGCCAAGGAATGTCGATGACAGCAGCTGCAAAGTGTCAATAAAAGAGTAGAAATGTTGCTTGTTTGTGTATATAGACCATAGACGCTTTTAGGCACATTTAGTTAATAATAGTTTAGTTGAAATAGCTTTCCACAGAAACAGCCCCATGGAGAAGACAATTTGCTTTGATATGCGCCTCCTTCCAACCCCAAAGTTCATGTGTTTCTGTCCCGCTGCAGCCTGAGCATGTTCAAAGCCCTGGACTTTGACCCAAACGCCCCTGTGAGTACGCCCCCTGCAGGAGCCCCCCCGCCCCCTCAGGACCTCCTGCTGCGTCTGGACCAGCTCATATGCACCGTCTCACAGCTGCTGCAGACCTTTAGCAGGTAACACTGTTTAAACTGGGCTATATCTACACAGGGGAATGCTCTATTGTTATTATGGCAGTTTAAAGTGTACTGTGTAACTTTACTGGTGGGAATCTTGCTTCTGTTAGTGGAGATGTTATTGCTTTGCCTGGAATGTTCCACAGTAAAGCATCAAACTTGTTTATCTTGCATTTGTTCCATTATAGGTATTATTCCTGCTAAAATAACCTTAGAAAAACAATTATCTGCTTGTCTCCATGGCGATATTATTGCTTTGGCTCCTCAGTATGGCATTTTAAGAAACCATTGCTTGCATTTTTTCAGTTACAAGTATGTTTTTTGCAAAAAAAACAAAAAGAACATGACTTCTTACTGTGATTGGGCTTACCTTTCCACAGATTTGACTTGTAACTTGGCCCTAACTTTGCTTGTCTCCGTGGAGATACATAGGTCTGTGCCATAGTCTCAATGGAGATAAGCAAGTGGTGGACTCTCTACCAGAAAAAGTTACATAGTGCACCTGCACCTTTACTATAATAGTTTATTTTTCCACCCAGCTTATCTGTGGTGTCTGTTAGTTAATAGTCTGTTCACTTACATACTCGGGCTTTCACAAATTCCTCACTTGGATTGCCAGATTCTACATCTAAAACCAGTAGAAAATAAATCCAACTCCTTTGTATGGTATGATGTTCCCAGTCCTGAACTGATATTGACAGTCAATATCAGTTCAGGTTTATTTGTGATTATACTGTATTTTTCCAATGCATTACAGTGCATGTTCCAGCTATTACCATAACTATTTAAAATAACAAATGAATCGAAGGAACGCCTGTGTCATTGCGATCAATATTCATATATCACCTTTTTCATCAGTCACTGTCACATCTGAAATCAATATCAACAAACTGGGAGAGCCATATAGATCAATATCTTAACTGAAGTAGAAAGAAAATACAACACAAATCCCAACATAAGTGCATTTTTTCTATTTTCAGTTGATGTGTAAATCCAAGGACATTCTTTCGAAATGTAAAAATTACGCAAACCTTTCAGTAAGAAGTTATTAAGCAATCACAACAACATTTCTGTTACCTGCTTTTTCATATGCCATTTGTTAGGCCCGGGGAATTCTGAATTTTAATCAATCAAATCGAGAGGCAGTTGTTTAAAATCATCGATATTCAGCTTGTGTCTTTTTAATAGAGAGGTCCACAGCCAATGCTCTCTCTGGTTTGGAGCAGAGTTCAGACTTTGAAGGAAGAAAGGAAAAAGTCTGTAAGGTTCAGATTTCTGTCTTGTTTAATGTCAGGACGATTTTTATTTGCTTTAAAGCCCCAGTGTGAAACCTTTGTAGCCAAGAAATACAATTTTGGTTGGATGCTTTTATTGCTCTGATTCGTGATTGACAAACTCCCCTTTCAAGTATGCACTAAGATTAATTTTATTTTTCTTTCTTGAACGAATACAAACCTCACAATGCTCACACGCAAACAAATCTTGAAATTCGTCTCCCATCGCGTTACTTTTGAATAAATTGTTATTCTGGCATATATTAAATTATCTCCCACCCCTTCTCTCTGCTCCTGGCTCTTGTGTGTGGATTTTTACGCAGCACGTGTTCTGTTTGGCATTAAGCTTTGGTCAGGCTGTATCTGCTCGACCTTCAGCTTTGTCTTATCACCTTTACTGTGACGCAGACTCAGCTTCACTGTATCAACACGAAGGTCATTTATTCAGTTTGAGATTATTTCAGAACGGACATCTTCACAGATCACGTAGCAGCTGCCAACATCACTATCTGTGTGACAGTGTGTGGAGAAGAGGGGCTGGCAAGGTTGATAAATAGACATTTTTTTATGCAATTTCAATAGTCAGATATTAATGGAATCCTTCAGAAATGTGGTAAAAGGTGTAAGCTGCAGAAGCTGTGAATGGACCATAGACTTAATAATAATAAAGTGGACTAAGGGAGAGTGATGTCACCCATAGCATTCAGCTCCAGTCAAATGAAATCCAACTCCACTTTATTTATACAGTATTTTGCTAATATCTCTGTACAGCATGTCGGAAACTGCTTTGAGTTTCCGACATGCTGTACAGAGATAAAAAGAAAACAACACAAGTTATAATTGCTGAATATTTGATCATACTACTCCTAAAACAATAAAAATAGTATTAAAATCAAATACAAAAATCAAAACAAAACCATAAAATCATAAAATAGTAGTAAATAAGTAAAGTAAATAATTAAAATAACTACTGTAAAAGACACAGAGGACCACACAACTCACGCAGCTCCCAAAGAAGGGGCTGTTCGGGCATGGTAGGGATCATAGCAATTATGGAACCAATTGGAGCGAGGCCGTTGAAGGTAACGCCCCTTAGGTACACTACTAATCAGCCCTTGTGCTAACGCTAACAGGAGCGACTCTGGGGAAAGAAGGCGCCTTATTGATGTTCATATCTTGATTTATGGACAAAATAGTGAAATAAATAAAAAGAAAAGAAAAACACCAGGATCACGTAGAGCGGGTTAATACGAACATTCTAAGACCAAAATGATGAGTATCAGAGCAGAGCAACAGTTACAAAGTGAGGGCTGACATTTTTTCAACAGAAAGTGAATCGGAACCAGAGTCGATGGAGCCGAAAGCGTGTCCTTACTCACTTCCTGTCTGGAACAAGGCCGCTAGCAAGTTATCTGTGTCCATTTATACAATCTGTGGAATGGATTGTGCCACGTGGGTTTCAGGCAAAGTATTCCTTTCTGATTTGAAGGATTTTGTTACAGCAATGGTCCTTTGTTGTTACCAAAAATCCAACTCAAATCAAATATTATATCTTTTATGGCTCACAGTCCTTACAAAATCCTTCAAATCAGGAAGGAATCTTTTGCCTGAAACCCATGAATATTATTATAGGTGAAAGATTACAATACAAGATTTTTTTCTTATCTGCCTTTTTTGTAACATTTTATAGATTAAATAGTTGATATTATGCTTTTTCATATCTCCAAATCTACAGTTTGGGTTTAGTCAGTTTTTCAATATATCTTCTACATCTACTGGAGATATTCATTTCACAACAGACTGCACTCTCTATTAGCTCTATAATGATGAATAGAGATAGAATGTCATTTTCAACCTTTAAATCGTAGTATTTTCTTTATATTACCATGTGGCCTTATATCTGTGTAATCCCTCAGTGGTCCAGGTAGGTTCCATAGTGGTCCATGGGTGTATACTAGTCTATGTGCTCTTATACTTGTTCTGATACAGCTCAAGATCATTCTAAAGATATTCAGAAAATGTCTGTCTTGTGAATGTGACTTTTTTAGTATTGGTACCTGCTAGTTTCTGTACTAAAGACATATGAACCTGTAACATGTAACTTTTTTTGGTGCTGGGGGTCCACTACCTGCCTGTCTCTATGGAGATGTTTTTTTGCTTTGCTGGAATGTTCCATAGTATTGCCATCATCGTCCTTTAGGAGCAGTATTTCTCTGTTTTTGTCATTCTTCTCTGGTTTATTCTGTTCCCTTTTCCCTGCAGCAGTGACTCAGAGCTAAAAATATATCCAAACACACTACAGTGCTTTGCTTGCACATCCAAGACTGCCACATTTTCAGTGGGGAGCGGGAGGGTGCTTGCTAGTTTCAAATCTTTAACAGAGTAGATATTATGATTTTTATATATACCTTATTTGTTAATTAGAAGTGACTATTATATGCCAAACTAACTAAACTAAAGGACCACTATGTAACTTTTCTGGTGGAGGGTCCATCACCTGCTTGTCTACAGAATGTTTTACAGTATGGCATTAGATGTATATTTTACATTAATTAAATTAAGTACTTTATTGCTCAAAAATACATTGAAAAAGCAGTCTCATCACCACCGAGACATGTTTCAGTGTTGAGTAGATCAGTATTGATTGCTTTACATCATACATGTTGCGTTGCCCTGTATTGACGATCCACTAACACTAAGTAACACAGTATTGATGGTACTTTGACATTTATGGACCACGCTGTTGTCTGCATGTGAGGGCACAGCTGCATCCTCTGACATTAACCCTGTCTTATGTAAAACAGGGAGATGCTGATCGGGCTCCTGCTTTGTGCTGGAAATGTCAAATGTGTTTATGATTGAAGTTCAGATCATAACATTAGCATATCAACCTTTCACTAGAATCTTGGTAGGACAGTGATTTCCACTCAGCGTGTCGTGTTGACCAGTTTGACTTAAAGGTCCTATATTACGTTAATGCTGTTTCCTCATCACAAACAGACCTGGGGTTGTGTTTTGTTTCATTCACACATAACACACAAAATCTGCATATTTAGACCTTTTCTCAAACTGAAAACACTCCAAGTCACCACCTTGTGATGTCATGTGGTGATACAGGAAGTGCTCCACTGTGTTAAACTTCATATATCTTCACTAGAATCATTTGGATCATTTCAGCCCTGGAAGTGACTCTCGCTACTGAACAGAAGGTAAAAGGTAGCTGTTAACTTAAAACAGTACCACTGCATGACATCACAAGGTGGAACAGAGCATTTTGAGCTTTGGAGATGTAGACTTAGTAATAATACAGAGTTACTCAAATATGTGTGAATGAAATAAAACACAACTCCAGGTCTGTTTTGATGCGATAACAACATTATAACATGATTTAAAGCTCAAAAGAGTCAATTTTCCGTTATACTGGACCTTTAACCCAGTGTAGTTATTTTTAGCAGTTTATGTAATTGCATTTTGCCTTCTGCAGAACTTACCTATGCAACAGTTAGTGTCGGGAGGCTGCTGCTGCTCCCGGCGCCGTTGCCATGGAGACGGCTCAACTAATTTTCACATGCTCAGAGCCAGGCCTGTGACTCACTCTATCTCTGTCCCCATCTCCCCAGCCTCTTTATCAGAGAACACTAGAAATGGATAATTCAGCTCTCTCTCTGTCCATGTTTTAGTAGTTTTGTATTCCTAGTGTCATCTGTATTGCAATTTTGTGAGTCCAACCTCTGCTTTATGGTCTGTTTAAAGGTCTGGACGTGTGTTGCCATGATAATAAAATTACAATCTCTATTTTTTGAAGGGAATGTCCTTAATAGTCAACACAGTGACTTTAATGCTGTAGGGCTGGGCAATATGGGCAGTTTTCTCTCATTGATAGCACAAATCACAATGTTTGATTCAGTTTTATTTTTTTCTTCATAAAATATAAAATAAATATGCCTTTCAGTCCTAAAGATGCACTATGTAACTTTTTGTTTGAGGTTTTTGTCACATACGGTACTTGTTTATATGGATACGCCATTGCCATTGCTTTTCTTGGAATGTTCCACAGTATTAAACATAAAACCGCTCTACCTTACATTTATTAAATTAAAGATGGTTTTATAGCTCAAAAATACCTTGAAAAAATGGAATTCTGACTGTGAGCAGGGTCGCCTCTCCACAGATTTGACTTGTAACTTGGTCTGGTTTGGTCTCCATGAAATTTGAAAGGTTTAATACCATACTATAAAACATTCCAGACAAAGCAATAACCTCTCCATGGAGAAAAGCATTTGACGGACCCTCCACCAGAAAAGTTGCACAATGAACCTTTAACCTGCAACAAATAAATTGTAGGATGAACTGATAATTAGAGATAGAAATTATGTATTTTACTATCTACAGTTCAAGTCTTATATTTTTACTTGAAAATTGCAGAAGTCTCCCCATTATTGCAAAAAAATAAAAATAATAATGTTCTCACAATAAAAATAAATATAATAAAATATAAACTATTTTATTTGATACTTCCACAACACGATACGTTTCTACCACTTGGTCTTAAACTAGTGCTCATATTCACGGGTATTGGGGAATTGATGTTTCTCTGAAGCATTTTTAAGATAGTCAGGTTTTTTTTTTTTTTTTACTTTGGATACTTGTTCAATTTATGTATTTTTGAGCTATAAAATTGCGTGTAATTTAATAAATATAAAGTTGAGCTGTTTAATGTCATACTGTGGAACATTCCCGGCAGAGCAATGACATATCCATAGAAATAAGGAGGTGACGGACTCCCAACCAAAAAGTTACATAGTGCACTTTTAAATATGTATTTGTTTCTGGGTATATGTTATTTTGCTACTTCAGCTGAGACCTGAAGGATGGAGGAGAAAGTCTAAAATATAGAGAAAACAGTATAAAATATTCAGATGCTTTTTATGTTTGCAGCCTTGGGCAAAACAAAACAGATAGCAAAATGTCTTGATGCTTATTTTTGCATTTTATAAAAGAAGTTGCATAACAGGTGTTTTTTTTTTCTGGTAAATTCTTATAATAAAGCTTTTATTTTCTTGTCCTTGCAGCATGTTGACATCTCCTGGCATAGCTGAAGCACAGAATCTTCTCAGTCTTATGCGATCTATTCAGGCAAGTGCTCTTATAATAACTGCTACTAAAGGTCAGTATGTAACTTTTCTGGTGGAGGAGCCGTGAAATTCTTTTCTCTGTGCATGTGTCATTGCTCTGCCTGAAATGTGCCACAGTATGACATTAAACAGCTCTACATTACATTTCTTCAGTTACAGGTGGTTTTATAGCTCAAAAATACCTAGAAAAACAGGCATTCTGACTGTGAGCGGGATTGCCTCTCCACAGATCTGAATTGTAACTTGGTCTGGTTTGGACTCCATGAAACATTCCAGACAAAGCAGAACATCTCCACGGAAGCGTTTGACATACCCTCCACCAGAAAAGTTACACAATGCATTATTTAGAAATCTCTTATTTTACTTAAAGGTGCACTGTGTAACATTTCTAGTGCAGGGTCCGACACCTGCTTGTCTCCATGGAAATGTTATTGCTTTGTCTAGAATGTTCCACAACATAGATCAAACCTGTCTATCACGAGGGAGACAAGCAGGTTACAGCACTACGCTACATTACAGGTCAGATCTATGGAGAGTCGCCACTATACACAGAAAGATTTATTGTGTTTTTGAGCAATAGAAACACCTGTAATGAATGCTAGATGGATATGTCAATGTCATGCCATGAAACATTCCAGGCAAAGCAATAACCTCTCCATGGAGACAAGTATGTAGCCGACCCTCCATCAGAAAAGTTACGCATTGTATCTTTAATGTAATTTTTTTTTAAAAAGCTCTTACAAATGACTTTGTTGTTTCAGATTGCTGATGCAGACAAACTGGCCGCCACAGATCTTCTGAACTGCTTCTCACAACAAGAGTACAGGTGAGTCATGAAAACACATTGTATATTTTTATTTACACCTAGAGCTGAATTTTGAATCAACTTCTTGAATTATTTACAATAAAACTCCTGTAAGAATTTTTTTTAATCAATAACAAATTACACAGTGCACATTTAACTAAACAAAAAATTAAATAACTTGAATTTCCCTCTGAATCAATCAAGTATTATTGATACTTTGCAGTGACGTGTGTATTGGTGGAATGTTCACTAGTTCACTACCATGGAGAAACAATGCACAGATTATCAAACACTGACAAATAAGTTTTAAGATACTGTAATCTGAAAGCTCAAGAAAAAATACAAAATGGATTTAAACCACGCATTTTCAGCTGCCTGTGATCAATATGAGCTTTCATGGTCCTGTTTAGGAGTTTGATTTTCAACAAAAAAGGTGAGATTGACTAACTGAAAAACTGTTGGCTAATACTTGTTAAACAGCATAAACCAGTCGACCTGTTGTTGATCCAACTGAATCTATTTCTAGTCAGATTACGTTAAAATAAACAGTAGTGCTTACAGTTAGTATCACACCCCCAGGGAATGTTGATTCATGACATCAGATGAAAAGTGTCAGTTGTCTAGTAAGACAACTGACTGGGTACCCATGGAGTGTTCTCTGAACACTCCATGGGTACAAATATGATGATATAGAACAGGGGTACCCAAAAAATAGATAGGTGGATGGATATATGGATAAATATATATATATATTCACATCTCCACACACGGGCCTCCAACATTTTGCAGGACCCCACACACCCCGGGAACTGCCTCTTCCACACTCTCCCCTCAGGAAGACTTCAAACTCCCCTCACACGCACAAACAGGCTGCGCAACAGCTTCTATCCACGAGCAGTGGACGTGCTCCAAGGGCACAGGCACAGATAAAAGACCTGAAGGGAGTCAGTGCAATAATCTATTTATTTTATTTAATAAATGTTTTTTTTATTGGTACGGATGTAAGGATGTGTGTATATATTGTAAATTTTTACTGCTACAGATCTGCTCTGCTGAAGTTTCGTTGTATTTCATACAATGACAATAAATAAATCTATCTATATATACAGTCCCTGACAAAAGTCTTGTCGCTTATCCATTTTGTAGAAACAAAAGCTTATAACCTGACTTTAAATTAATCGATTGGTTTTAGAAATGTCTCATATGAAAGCTAAAACCCTCCCAAATTATGCTCAATATACTAAAATAAATTTGCTTCACTGAAGAAAGATTGATCATTTAATGAACACAGAAAGGTCAGATTTTGGCAAGACAAAAGTTTTGTCGCCTTGTCATATGATGCACCCAATCCTAGATTACAGCCTCACCTGTGATCAGTTACTGATCAATCAATTAGTGGGTGTGTATAAAAAGAAGCCCAGCACACCAGACCTTCACATCAACTGCAACTTGACCTCTGACAACATGCCTAAGATCCACCCTGAGACCAAAGCGTTAATTATCAAGAGGCTGAAGACCAGATCCACTGCTGAGGTGGTGACACCTTCAATGTGTCTCAGCGTCAAGTACAAAGAATAAGAAAAAGATCTGAAATGACTGGAGATGTTTTTGACAAGCCCAGGTCCGGCAGACCCCACAAGACAACTGCTCAGGAGGACCGTTTGTTGGTTTGAAAATCCACTGCCAGCCCCTTTTCCACTGCAGCAGACTCCACCAGGCCTGGTCACCTCAAGTCCCTGTGTCAACCACAACAGTTTGTAGAATTCTGTCTCGAAATGGCCTCCATGGTCGAATCAGTGCACAGAAACCAGCACTAAACAATTAAAAAACCGTGTGGCATTTGCCAAGGCCCACAGCCTGCTAAAAGGATGGACACTGGAAAAGTGGCAGAAGGTGGATTTCTCAGATGAATCCTCGGTTGAATTACATCACAGCCGCCACAAATATTGCAGGAGACCTACTGGAGCCACATGGATCCAAGATTCACCCAGAAAACAGTTAAGTTTGGTGGCGGAAAAATCATGGTCTGGGGTTCCATCCAGTATGGGGGTGTGCGAGACATTTGCAGGGTGGAAGGCAATATCAATAGCCTAAAATATCAAGAAGTATTAGCTCCTCTTACATTCCCAACCATAAAAGGGGCCAAATTTTGCAGCAGGATGGTGCTCCATCACATACTTCTAGCTCTACATCAAAGTTTCTCAAGGTGAAGAAGATCAAGGTGCTCCAGGACTGGCCAGCCCAGTCACCAGACATGAACATCATTGAGCATGTCTGGGGTAGAATGAAAGAAGAAGCATGGAAGGCAAAACCAAAGAATCTTGATGAACTCTGGGAGGCATGTAAGACGCTTTCTTTGCTATTCCTGATGACTTCATCAACAAATTGTATGAATCATTGTCGAACGCATGGATGCGTCCTTCAAGCTCATGGAAGTCATACAAGATATTAAATATGGATCTCACAGCACCACTACTTAATTCACTGACGTTATGCAACATATTTTTGTATTTGAAGTAAATTATTTGTTCAATTTTCTGTAGGCGACAAGACTTTTGACTTGCCAAAATCTGACCTTTCTGTGTTCATTAAATGATCAATTGTTCTTCAGTGAAGCAAATTTATTTTAGTATATTGAGCATAATTTGGGAGGGTTTTAGCTTTCATATGAGACATTTCTAAAACCAATCGATTAATTTAAAGTCAGGTTATAAGCTTTTGATTCTACAAAATGGATAAGTGACAAGACTTTTGTCAGGGACTGTAGATACTTTACTGATCCTGAAGGAAATTCAAAGTGGGGATCTGAGATTTTAATAATGTATTCTGATAAAATTTTGTATTGAAAAGACTGTCAGGAGATGGGAAAGAGGCCAATCTTGTCTATTTCCTAATATTTAAAATTTCAATCAAAATCAAATTACTCATACAGAAGACCATTTTATTTGCAACTGCAAACTGTCATTAGGTTTGACCCTCGATCTGCTAATGATTTACTGAGGAAAAAATGTTGGCCACCCCTGATTTTTCTTGTCATTATTATTACTAAGTGTGAAAATACAGGGATTGTACTCTACTCAGTTTGGCCACTACAACAGTGGTGGTCTTGCAAACTGATCCAAGTGGCCGTTTGCCATTTTTCAGATTCATTATTTAACGTAATGTTATTTACCGTATTTTCCGGGCTATTAGGCGCGCTCTTAAGCCTCTAACCCCATCAAAAAACAACCGCGTGCCCCGCAAGCCAGAGTGCCCTATACACGAATCCACTCGGGTGTCCCAGCACGACTTCAATAAACTACAAAGCCGCACCACCAGCAGCACACGCAAACACACACGTAGCAGACAGCGACCATGCAGTGAAAAATGCCCGCAGCCACACTCATCACTCCACGCAAACGAGGAATGGAACGGAGGAACGAACCGAAAAAGCGAGTCCAATGTGCCACTCTGAGTCACAACTGAATAACTGAGTCACTGTGAACACGCCAACAATCCGTTGGTCCCAGACAGCACCCTCCCTACACGCCACAACTGAACAAAGCCCAGAGTCACCGTGAATGGGTCAAACAAAGTCCCACTGACCCATCCAACTGTTGTGTTTCGTTTAAAGTCTGGTGCGGTTTATTTGTGAAAAAAGTTCGAAAATAGACCATTTAATGACAGTGCGTCTTATAATCCAGAACGCCTGATAGCCCGGAAAATACGATATCTATCCAGCTAACTTTGACTTGGTCTTGTTCTAGATTTTGTTTATAACATTGTCATAAAATTGTATGTGTAGGTTTTGAGGCCAATCCCAAGTCCTGGTTTGACGCTAGCTCAGTCCTGATGTAGACTTGGTTTGGTCCAGTTTTAGTCATAGTTTGGTCCTGGTCTAGTTCCTGGTTTAGATCCTGGTTTGGTTCCTGGTTCCTGGTAGTTCCTTCCCAAAAGTGCAGATATTGCTATTGCTATATTCATAATGGCGACAATCTGTACTGACCAAAAGCACCAATGTCAGTGATATTGTGTTATTTCAAAGGAAAAAAACAAACACTTAAAACACTCTAGAACAGTTTTGGACATTACAAATTAATAAATGTGTAACCTATTCATTCAAGTCCCAGTTACCTGATCTCTGCTTGTCTCATCTCGCAACTGAGAGGAAAATCATCTTAAAATCACAATTCCAAATTTCTTATTTAGATACTCACAATAATTACTATAATGATATTTACAGTATTTTTGGAGTGTCAGTATTTATCGTGAGTACATTTTCTTTACGCTACTGGGACATTTTTTGTTATTTTTTGGCTATATCTGAAGATTTAAGCCATAAAAATATGAATAAATGGGCGGCAGTAGCTCAGCTGGTAAGAGCGCTTGTCCAATGATCTGGCAGTGCGAATCCCGCTCTCGACATAAACATCATTCGCTGAGTGGTCATATCCTCTGACCCATAAGTTGGCAGTGTGATTCCAGCTCCCACAGATGAATGCTGTGTCCTTGGGCAAGACTTTTAACCCACCTTGCCCCTTGTGTCTGCGTACATTGGTGTGTGAATGGGTGAGTGGTTTCTTGATGTAAAGTGCTTTGAGTGCCTTGAAGATTGAAAAGCACTATATAAAAATCTGACCATTTACCATAAATAACTTCTATGACTCATTGCAGATGCAAACTAGGTATACTAAAATGTTTGATTCTTCTATTTATTTATTACAGCTCATGGTTTTTTAACAGTATTGTACATTTAGCATAGTTTTTGTTGTTAAAATCTATTGTCAATGGCATAAATTAGGTTCAGTATTATAATTTATCATTTAATTCTTTTTCGTGTCAGGCCTTTTCTTATCATGTCCATATAAATCACAAAAAAAATCACCAGTAATGTGGTATGACCCAACCCTAGTGGGCAAGAACGCTCCCTAAGCACTTTTCCCTGCAAACTGCTATTACTACCTGTTTACTGACCTCCTGAGATAAGCCTGATTTAGTAAAATAAACCCAGGATTAGACAAGCCCACACTGGAGTTTTCTGT